ACGACCCGAGCTTGAAGGAAGGAATACAAAACCACCCCAAAGTGGGGGGCGAGTGGGGAATTATTTTATATACATATATATCAATCAAATCAAGGTGCTTTGCTGAAAAAAGATTATATTAAAATCTATGCTCATTCATTTGCAACAGTGAATACAATGTAACAAGAAGAGATTTTTAAAAGAGATATCTACCATGGCATGAATGGCTTGGCAAAATCTCAGATAACTGAGAAATGTGTACAGTTTATGAAATTACCACTTGTGAATATACTGGAAGATGTCTAAACACGTAATGAATAATTTCCATGCAATATTTAAAAAAATGTTCTGTAAGGTTGTCATCAGTATATTATTCTGTTAGTTTGATCATTAATTACCTTTTATTAGCTAAAAGTACTTCCCTTGAAAATAAATGACACAGTAGACCAGATTCATCTCAGTTTCTGGGCTGTTTAAGAGTTGAGCCTTGGGCATTTCACCAGGGGAGGTCATCTATTAACCTCAGCATGAGTTGTCAGTAACTTGTGTTTCAGCCAGCAGCTGTGTGGATAATAGAGAAAAGAAGAAGCTTTGCCTTTATTTTCTCCCTTCACAGTCACTGATGGCATTTTAAGGATATATTGTTTTATAGCTAGTAATGTCCACACACTCACACACATAATTCCAGACACCTACAAGAATCGATTTGTATGTCACAGCACTAGGCCAGCTTCCTATAAGATCTGCTTCACCACTGGTAATAGGAAATGTTCCCTAACATCTGTGGTCTCCTTCCCTCTACCTCCCCCTATCTCACTCTTTCTTCTCACTGCTGTGCTCTCCCCCTGTCTGTCTCTGAGCAGTAGAATTGAATTGAAATTGAATTAGAGCTCCACCACCCACTCGGCAAGATCCTGCAGCCCTCTGTCAGATAGCTAAACAGAGGGAGGAAGAGAGAGAGAAGGTTGCAGTGAGATAAATAGAGGGCAAGAAAAAAAGCCAAGCATAATAAAAATACCCCCTGCCCTATAAAGAATAAAGAACAGTCCTTACAGCCTCTTTTCTCGCCTGCACTTCAGCCTGATAAGAGTCAACACATTTTTTTTTCATGGAGAGTTGCAGGTGTGAACAAGAGACAAAAAATAATGAGAGAGAAGGGGAAAATAGAGGCTAAAAGAGCTGTTGCTTTCACCTCTCCTCAGCCTGCACTACACATGCCATTAGAGAATGAAGGGTGATTTTTTTATTGCAAAAATGCAACACACATGCACATAAACAAACATAGCGAGTCATACAAGTGGCCAAGGTGTTTAGTCTTAAGTTCTGCTTTACTTTGATTGATGTACTTTACTTGAAATAATATTCATTCAGCTGAGACACACAGCTAATTCAATTAATTAAATATAAATATATAGTATGGAGTGAACAAGTAGCTTTAAAATACAACCTCTTTCTTCATGTTCTTCCTAGAAAAAAATATAAAGTTACAATAAGTAACACAGATCCAGTGCCATTCATTGTGAACCTAATGGCACAGCAAACCACTCCTTTTAGACATAAATAGGATGCTAAACACAACTAAAATGGACTGAAAATCACTGGTTTCTCTCCCTCGCTCATTCACCCACACTCTTTTCTAAAGCTAGAGAGGCATTTGCATAATGCCTCCATATCCACGGGCCATTAGCGCTAGCATGAGTGGCTGGTGTGCATTCATTTATTGCCTTGATCAATCAATGCGAGTTACTGTACCGGTACAAACCGATGAAATTCCAATCCAGTAAAAGACAGTCACCAGAAAGAAAGAAAAAAAAGGCTTTTTCAAACATTGATGTGTCACACATGTAGATCAGACACACATTAAACTGCACAGACAGTCATTGGGAAAAGGTTTGACATAAATAATCATTTTAGATGTTTACAATTTACTGCATACTATAATTAGATTAAATAACTTGTCATTTATTGAGGACCCAAGGTAACTTCTTTGAAAGTGCCTCTCTATCATGGGATTTAAACGCCAATGTCACTGTTTGCAGCACAGGTGCTGAAGACACCACGCTGTAAAATGGTATGAGTTGTGATGGGAGACCATGACAGTGCAGTCAGTACTTAAAATACATTCTCAAGTCACATCCCACCCTCACTAGAATTACACAACTAAAAACATCTAAACTTTCAATTTAAACATTCAAACACATAAGACATTCTAGTCACTCAATATTAAATGATTTTTCTATATAAAATAAGATAGTGCCTGTTGAGAAGTTTGGCCATATAACAATCAGACACTATCATTTGCTTATTGTTTTGGGGGTGTCTTAAAAAAGAGTGCTTGGTTCTTTTTCTTTAATGTAAAGTTATATCTTCCTAGGTTCTAAATTTGTCATGTTTCCTGTTCCAAGAGAATGTTTACAGTAACCAAGGTCGTTGCTGTGAAGAGAGCTGAGAATAGGTGTCCATTAACAGAAAGACTGTAGAACAGTACAATGAAAATAAATGTCACACTCCCGTTCTTTAAAGCTAGTAACGGATAAACTCTTAAAATATAGCATACTGTATGTGCTACATAGGGTTTTCATATAATGCAATTTTCACCTATTTTATATTTCTTTTAAGTCAGCTTTTAATATTTGAGATAAACATAACATGCAAATTTAAGAGTAAAAGTCCCAAAATAATCTTAAAGAAATGTCACCAAACATGTACATACACAAATTGTTATTAATAGCACATTATATTTATTGAAACAGAAGAATGTTGAATGTTTGACAATGACTGAAAGCACTACATTTCTTTAATTTGTGTTCAATTTAATTCCAGTGTACTGGTAGGATTAATTACCTTCTATTGCATTCACTGGTGTAACAATCTAGAATTGTATGTCAAGACAAGACACGCACACACATATACCCACACAGGCTCCTGTTATCAGGACTTGCACATGCACTCACCACACACACGAACACGTCTGGCTGGCTATGTAAAAGCTCCATCATCATGTAGCTTGCTGCCAGCAAGGTGCCTTAGAGTTAGGGTTCAGTTTCACAGGCGCGCAGACACATGCAGGTTATATTGATGTTATTTGCGCTGTTGTTGCTGATTCAACTTATAGGTCACTGTAGCATAGGCGATGTGGTGAAGTATGTAACCAGGCACACTAACATGTGCGCACAAACGCTGTCTTCTCTCTCTCTCTCTCTCTCTCTCCCCCCCCCCCCCCTCCCCTCCCCCCCCCCCCAGCCACTAGCCAAACCTTCCTTCCTTCCTTCCTGCAACAAACAGTCACAATACTACTAACCCACAAAAACGGGGCGTAGTGTTTTGTGTGCGTGGCCTTAATAAATTCCTTTCTAGGCTGCCAAAATGATCCTGTAGCCAACATGAACGTGCTTGCTGAAAACACAGCGCGCGTGCGCAAACACAATAATTCTTCTTTAGCTCACATGCACTTATGTCTTCGCGCGGGTACTCATACACACACATTGCCGTTTATTTACAGTACTCAGCTGGGTGCGGGGCTGCTGAATTTAGCCCGCTCAAACTAGCCCACGTCTGGATCCACCGACCACGGTCTCAGGCTTGAGGGCGCGGGCGCGGAAAGGTAACGAGAAAAAGCTTCTATAACTTATACCGGGCTCAATTTTGACCTTGCAATGTTCTCACTGCTGGCTTGCCTGTGTACAACAGCACCTTCTGTCTACACCCCACCCACACCACCGTCCAAATACACCCTCTCTGTCTCCCCCCCGCCCCATTGCAGCCTCCAGACTAAAGGAAATCTAGAAATAACTCATATGGCTGCCCCTTTTTTTTCACCCCCCAACAACCACTACACCTCTGCTCCAGCTGGCACAAAATAATTAAAATAAACAGAGAGACAAGGGGAGAAAAGAAATGAGCCGTCATTTTGCACTGATAGAAAAAATGTGGGAGTTTAAACTTTACCTTTTCTCGAATATGGTTTCTTCGTTCACGGGGTGTCAGGGCGCAATTATCTTTCCAAATCCCATAATTAGATTGGTAGTGGTGATGATACTTGTAACTCCACACAGATAGGTTCCAGATAAGAGAATATGCCCCATATAGGTGTATACGTAGCTGTATCGAGGTAAATACCTGTAATAGCCGTTGAGTGGTGTAAATTCCGTATGGGTTTATAGTTCAATCCTGTCTTCCAGAGGGGTGCGTTGCATTCTCACAGCGCCCGACGACTATATCCTCCTCTTCTCTCCCCTCTCTCTTCCTCTCTCTCCTCGTCTTTTTCTCCCGGTTTCATCCCCCCATCCACTGGCTGAGGAATCCCATCCGAGAGAAACTGAAATGATCTCCCTCCCTTTCCTTCGACCGCTTCTTTTTCTTCTTTTTCTCCCCGGCCAGCAGTACGTCCTCTCCCACCTCCTCTGCTGCCAGTCGCTGTCCTTGCACAGGTGAAACAGGAAAGATTCCAGTACAAGAAAAATATATCCTATGCAAAAGGGTGGAAAAGTCTTATTCCAGGGTAGAGTTTGTTGGTTATGAAGCACTACTAATTAATCCACAGAATTAGCTTTCCTGGTTTACTGGAGACCATTAAACCTTTTCAGTAACGGATTTTTGGATTTTCACTTCTCAGACGCCAGCTCCTATAGCTCTCTCTTTCTCTTTCTCTCTCTGTCTCCGATATGTTTACGTCGCTTACCCTCTGTTAACTCTGTATGGGTGAAGAGAGCAGAATAGTCAAAACAGAATTTAGTAAAGTAAAGATGAGGTAACGTCCCAGTAAAGCGGCGAAAAGCTTAACGGTACAATGCCGGTGATCCTCGGCCCTCCTCACCAGTCGCTTCTCCAGTAGCGTTTATCTATATAGCGCAGCGATTGTCATTACAGTCATGTTTGATACAATGAATGTATACGACTTCCTAGGGCTATTTTCAAAATAAAACCCATCTATCAGGCATTTCAATAATGTGCAATAAGCCTGCGTTTTCATGTATTGTTTCCAATAATATCATACGGGGTGTGATTAGTTCCTTGTGTCTGACTGGATGGCTCTAATTACCTCCAGACTTTTATGGACACCAAAAGCCCCATGTATTGACTTGCAAATGTGTTTTGGAAGATGCAATAAAAGATTAGAATATCCGTTTAAATGGAAATGGCCATGTCCACATTATCTCCTAATTTCAGGATTGTCTCATACAGAGGCCCTGTGTCAAACTATAGTTTTAACTCCTCCATTATTGAAGTTTATTTTGTGTTCCTATGCGTGATCTGTTTAATTAGAATGCTTATAGTAACTGTATGCTGCTGCTGAATATTAAGAGAGTCATGGTTCATTTTTACCAAAGCCCACCCAAGATGGTTAATCCAGACATACAGCCAGTAATATCAAATGAGTAGTTTAAACAAAACAGGCTTTGTGGATTTAGTAGCTAATTATATTATTTTTGGATAATGTGACAAAAGTAGTGGTGGTTATAGAAATCCCACTTTGCCTTACCAGCCGAGGGCCTATTTCTTTAGTTTGCGTTTGAACCAGATTTCAAATTGAATAATACGTGGTCTTTTATTTTGAAGTACAGATCGCCTTATTTCCGAATTGTGCCTTTATAATCCTGTTTCACTTCACGCATCGGAAAGCCTGCTGCAGAGAAGTTGGTGAAAAAGCTTGTTCAAGTGGACGCTTAAATAAACTTATAAAGATCAGGCTTTTTTGCCAGACTGGGGTATTTCAGTCTCCCCCTGCTCACCTGTTATTCCGCACGCTAGACTAGAGCATGAGAGGTATTAAAAAGTGCCACTGCCATCCTTTTCTGTCCCATTTGGAACCGCAGTATCTCTCTCTCTCGCTCTGCTGTTATACACAATACTGAGAACTATTTAAGAGCTGAACAAACATAAGTAAAGGAGAAGAGAATAAATCATAGTTTGTGAATCATCCTTGATACTGGATAAAAAAACAGTGGGTTAAAAATGCCTCTAACTGCAGCAATGAACAAGGTTTTGGGAGAAATATAGAAGTTTCTATTTATAGTTTGGAAACAACAATATAGGCTATTAAGGCTCAAAATGGGTATAGCAAGGTGTGACACTCATAAAATCTCGTTTTCTTTCCACAGTGACACTGAATATAAAAGAAAATGCAGCTTCAGTAAAGCAGCATTACAAGTAAATAATGGTTTAATGATCTACAACTAAAAAATATTTTCCAGAACACTGATAAGCCTGACTGTGACCTGCTGAAGGTGGACCTGAAGAAGATATCAAAGGCAGAGAGCGTCTGAATGTGTGTTAATGTGAAACAGGGCATTGCTGTCAAAAAGCATGCATTTCTGATATTTAACAATATGACCAAATTATATTATTGCAAAAAAAAATGCATTTCTTTATTTGGGTCTCTTTACAATCCATTTCTGCAACTGTCCACATTTCTTTTATCAATTGCAGGAGATCAGTGAATTTCCTCCTCTTGATGCCATTAACCTTTAAGGTATCACTAAGGCCTCTTCATCACCAGTCAGTCAATAACTGTAAAAGCAAAATGTTACATTCAGTGTTCACAGGTGATTGATTGCACTGCTGTAAGAGAGTTACTGGGTCGGCAACCTTAAAAGAGTTCACCCAATCTTAAACGAGGCATTAAAGAACTGCTATTGTGTAAAGTTAATTTAAGTGGTTTTTGGATTTGTTTTAATGAAATGTGATATTTCATCTTCTGAATGAGCTTAATGCATTTGGAAATCCTGCAACATGTGAGCAGTGCTACTGCAACACCACAGAATGATTGGTCATGACAGTAAACCAGCGTAATCTAACATTCAGGCTACTGCTGCCAATCAATTTATTGATTACCTCTTAACAGCTGTTAAAGTCAGTGAGACATTCTCCTGTGGCTGATGTGATAACTCCCACTGCAATCACTATTCATTTGACAGTGACATGCTCATAAATGTGGGAGAGCGACACTTAGTTAACCATTTAAAGCCTAATCAGATTTGTCGCTCAAGGTGTGCCTCTATTCAGTATAAAATCAATCGTCAAAACAAACAAACAAAGAAAACCTCACTTTGTCAAAGTTAAGGGTGTAATAAATGACACTGATACTGTTTTACTGTCATAAAGCATGAAGTGACCACAATGAACTATATCTGCAGAATTGGTTTGGCAGAATTGTTGATCACTTGTGATTCAGTGATTACTAAACCATGTGCAGAATTTAAAAAAAAAATTCCTTTCAGTGTTCACTTCCCAGCTTTACATTTACACTAGGAGCTACCTCATCAACTAGTCATGGGATTACATGCATGCCCCTCCTACAGTCACATCCAGGTTACTGCCCAGCTCCCTGAATGTCACACCATATACAACATATAACCATCAGCTAGACTGCTTTGTAATGCACACATATGTTCTTTCGAGATACAGGCACAGTATGTCCTGGTGACAAAAATGTCTTTTAAAAAAGGTTTCAAAAGTCCATAAAATTTTTGTCATATACTGATGATATATAGATTTGAAGAGTTACTCTTGTATACTGCTCTCTCTTTAATGTTCCCTTAAGTTTGATAAATTAAAAATAAAATTCCCTGCTATTCAGTCACATTTTTTCTACTGCACTCCTCTTGTCAGGTCTTTGATGATATATAACACATTTTCTCAGCCACTGTCAACCCTTCAACAAGTTATTTCTATTTTATGTGTCAGCAGTCAGACTGGCTAGGGAATTTTGTCAATGCTGCATTTTGTTTCACAGCACATCATAGTGGTGCTAAACTGTACAGCTAGTATGCTGTATGTATGTAATGAAACCATATCTTCCAAATGTATGCTTAAAACATTGCATTGCTTTGGTACATGCCCTTACTATAGATCATATGAGACAGGTTAGTGGCATGATAAGCAGTATAAATAATGGATGGATGGATGGAGTTCTGAATATCACTGTTAAAATGGATATGCTTACATTAAAGCATTTGTCTTCTGTATGTATTTTTAAAAACATAATAGAAAATAGCTGTTCCAGCTTCAGAATACAAATTGACATTAGACTTGATCCTGCCTTATATAGAAGGAGGTTATCCTTTTCAATTCTGTTCACACTTATGGAGGTAATCTGTTATAGCAGGCTTTATGGGACAGGATGTGGCTCAAAGGATTCCTCAGCAGATAATGACTGAATACAAAGTAGACTCTCAGCACACACTTAATCCTTAAACCTTGCTTTGTTTTCTAAAAGTTGCCTTTATTTTGGTTTAAGTTGGTCAGTGCAGTAGTGTCTTGGCATCCCAGTTCCAAAAGTTCACTAAAGTGTAATTTCTCTTTGGGGGCGACAGTGGATAGAGCAGTCGTTTCCCAACCGGAAGGTTGAAGGTTTGAATCTCGGTGCCTGCAGTCCACATGTCGAAGTGTCCTTTGGCAAGACACTGAACCCCCAAGTTGCCCGTGATGGCGGCGCGCCCGGGGGCCTCAGCTCCAAACAAAATTTTGTTGTACGTGTCACAATATTACAATGACAATAAAGTAAAGCTTCTTCTTCTTACAACACTAAAAATAATTCTTATTTATAATATTTATAAAAAAGGACCTGTTCTTAAGTCACAAGTGGTCACTGACTGATGCTCTTGACATCCTAAGCCACTAAAATGGTCAAGCTGTCATGGTGCTGATCAGTGCATTGGTTGTCTGAACATCTGGGGACCACTTTAGGAACACTAGTAAGACTGGAATAATTGGATGGATTGCACAGAAATCCCCTCAGTGACACTTGGATCAGTGATCAGAGAGGTTCAATAACCAGTTCAGTGCAAGGCCTGGTGTACTGTAAAATTCTGGAAAGTAGCTATATTTCAATAATATTTATATTAGCATTTCAACCCCTTCCTTTATGAAATAACCTTTTAGAACTTCTTTAATATGTTATAACCTCAGATTTATACAGCTTTACCAATAATTTGCCAGCAATGACTGTAGGTTATTGCTATCCCATCCCTTGTAATTGTCAACTGAGACTTTATTATGCTTACAGTGTAGTTTCAAATTCAATCCATTTGCCACAATCAGACAATATTCTTGTAGAACTGGCTGCCACTAAAGCTATAAAATCCCCAACCCTGGTAATGTTTGTGTCATATAGTGCTATGTCCACTGAGGCAACAGCTGTAGATGGGAGCACAAAGGTACTGTCAGTATCAACATAAGCTGATGAAGCTTAGTCTTCTATCACTATGGATGAAGCTATTGATTAGCTGTTATGGCTATTGCAGATGGCAGCAGATCGTATTGGCTGAACTCCCTTACACACAGATGAGTGGTCAGGGAAGTATGCACTCAGCAAAACTTAAATCCTCAATCCAGGAATTTTTCCATTGCATCTATTTCCTGCACATTCATATTCCCTTAGTGGAGTGTAATGGCCTAGGAAATAACATTAAGAGTGTGTAATTGTGCTAAGGTAGACACAAAAACAATGCTGGCCTCACTAGACTGTCCCTGTCCAGCTATTCAATGAACTAAACACTTGAACAATTAAACATCAGTAGGCATCAAATGTTGTTTAAATGCTTTAAATTAGAAGACTAAAATAAATCCTAATGCTGTAGCACAGGCACTTCTGCACAATGACATACCTCAAAAAAGCAGGAGGAAATTGTGAAATGGTTCAGTTTAGAGCATCATGAAATATGGAGCTGGCTTTCTGGTGTATTCTGCTTAATCGTATCTTGTGTTCTGATTGGTTGGTTTGTAAGCATGGAACATAACAGCAGGCACAATTTTGACACAGTCGGAATTATCCATTATGTTGCTAATTGAAAGGAATTTGCTGACCTTTGCTCTT